CACGTGCAGAGCAGACAAGAAGGTCGAATGTACACAACGTGACAGCATGTGAGAGTGATGAGTGTGAAGACGTTCTCTGTGTTACAGAGGCAGACACGCACGATTCAACTACAAAAAACACTGATAAAGTGAGAGACACCCGACTCTTTGCAGGCATGTTGATGGGCAAAGAGATGGTAAATTTCCAGATCGACTGTGGGGCCAGTTGTAATGTAATGCCAATCCACATGCTAAGCCCGAACACACAGTTGGAGGACTCACAGACAGTGCTGATGATGTACAACAGAAGTAAGATAAAGCCATTGGGAAAGTGCAAAGTTAAGTTACGTAACCCGAGAAATCAGAAACTGTATCGGTTGGAGTTCCAAGTGGTTGACAAAGACTGTAAAGTACCACTGCTGGGCAAGAGAGCCAGCGAAGCAATGAAACTCATAAAGGTGCACTATGAAAACATCCTGAAACTGGACAGCATCGTTACTTCAGAACACCCAACAGCCAAGGAGTGGGACATAGATCAGATTAAGGTGGAATATGCGGATGTTTTCACAGGAGATGGCTGTTTGGAGGGAGAGTTACGGCTCGAAGTGGATGAAGCGGTGAAACCAGTACAGTTACCAAAACGGCGTGTCCCTATTGCAATGATAAAGCCGTTAAAAAAGGAGCTTCAAGATCTTCAGCGCAGAGGGATCATTACACCGGTTGAATGCAGCACTGACTGGATAAGTGGGATGGTTGTGGTCCAAAAGCAGAGCGGGGATTTAAGGGTGTGCATAGATCCAAAACCCTTAAACAAAGCCCTACAACGGAGCCACTTCCCATTGCCCACCATTGAGGACATTTTGCCGGATCTGTCAAAGGCTAAAGTGTTCTCTGTCTGCGACGTGAAGAGTGGATTCTGGCACGTGAAACTGGAGGAGGAGTCGAGCTACCTGACAACATTTTCGACTCCGTTTGGACGCTACAGATGGCTGAGGATGCCAATGGGGATAAGTCCAGCTCCGGAAGTGTTTCAGAGAAAGCTCACACAAGCTTTGGATGGTCTGGCAGGGATCTACATCATTGCAGATGATGTGCTGATCACGGGTCAAGGAGACACGGAAGCAGAAGCAGTGCAGGACCATGACGAGAAGCTGCGACAGTTTTTGTCCCGTTGCAGGCAGAAAAACATTAAGTTGAACGCAGACAAGTTCAAACTTAAACAGAAGGAGACTACGTACATTGGACATCAGCTGACATGCAACGGTCTGAAAATAGACCCAGAGAAGGTTAGGGCTATAGAGCAGATGCCCAGGCCGACAGATGTGAAGGCAGTGCAGAGACTGTTAGGGATGGTGAACTACTTAGCAAAGTTTTGCCCACATCTGTCTGATCACTGTGACTTACTGAGACGACTGACACACAAAGACAGTGAGTGGAATTGGACGACTCGTCATGAAGATGCTTTCCAGAGACTTAAAGAGACTATAGCAGTGGCTCCAGTCCTGAAATACTACTGCCCAGAGGAAGAGCTGACAGTACAGTGTGACGCTTCTGACAAAGGATTAGGTGCAGCACTCATACAGAAGGGTAAGCCTGTGGCTTTTGCGAGTAGAGCTCTTACACGTACAGAGCAAGGTTATGCCCAGATAGAGAAGGAGCTTTTGGCTGTTGTTTTCAGTTTGGAGAAGTTTCACCAGTACACTTATGGTCGTAAAGTGGTTGTAACCAGTGATCACAAATCTTTGGAGACCATTGTAAGGAAACCGCTGTTGAGTGCACCCAAACGGTTGCAAAGGATGCTTATGCGCATTCAGAAATATGACTTAGATGTGGTGTATGTGCCAGGCAAAGACATGCTATTAGCTGACACGTTGAGTAGGGCATATCTTCCAGAGTGCGCACCTCAGGGCTCCATTGAGGAAGAAATAGAGAGCATTAACATGGTCACTCATGCACCCATCTCACCAGACAGATTAAACAGCATAAGGATTGCTACACAGGAGGACAAAGCACTACAAACCCTCATAGACACAATTCACAGAGGGTGGCCAACTGACAAAAGAGACATGGACGGTGACATCAGACCATACTTCTCGTTCCAGGATGAACTGAGTAGTCAGGATGGACTTGTCTTTAGGGGTGAACGTGTTGTTGTCCCGACTGTCATGAGACAGCAGATCATAGCCAGACTGCACTCGACACACCTAGGTGTAGAAGGTTGCCTACGGAGAGCCAGAGAGTGTGCGTATTGGCCAGGCATGAATGAACAAATTAAGACGTATGTGACTAAGTGTGACATCTGCAGGTCAGTAGATTACAGACAGCAGAAAGAGACTTTGGTTCCTCACGAGATCCCGACGAGACCATGGGCTAAGGTGGCCTCAGACCTGTTCATGTTTGACAACAAGGACTACCTTATCACAGTGGACTACTATTCAAACTTCTGGGAAATCGACTATCTCCCGGACACTAAGTCCACCACAGTGATTAGGAAGTTGAAGGCCCACTTTGCCAGACAGGGCATCCCAGACATTGTTGTCTCAGATAATGGACCACAGTATACGTCCGGTGAGTTTCTGAGATTTAGTCGACTGTGGGATTTTCAGCACAAAACATCTTCGCCAGGTTACCCTCAGAGTAATGGGAAGGCCGAATCAGCGGTGAAGACAGCGAAAAGGCTGCTTCTAAAGGCAAAACTGGCGGGGCAGGACCCGTATCTGGCGATTCTGGACCATCGCAACACACCATCACAAGGCCTGGAGACCAGCCCAGCTCAGAGGCTGCTCAGCAGGAGAACACGGACGCTTTTGCCAACCAGGGCGAGCCTGCTAAGGCCAAAAGTCATTCCTGCCCGGCGGGAGTTGCAGATGAAACAGAAGCGCCAAAAAGAGTGCTATGATCGGTCAGCACGTGACATGGACTCTTTGACGCTTGGGGACAGTGTCAGAGTTCAGCCTTTGGACCGCCACTCCACTTGGAGCAGGGGAGTGGTTGTTGGGACTGTTGACCCGAGGTCCTATGAGGTTCGGTTGGATTCTGGGAGTGTCCTGAGGAGGAATCGGAGGCACCTGAGACATGCAGGCGTGATGGATCCAGACAATGCCATGACAGACACTGGGGCACTGAGCAGCTCAGTGACTGATCCGTCGGGAAGTCGTGAGCAGCGGATTGAGTCTGACGTGGTAACAGGGGGTATCAGGACACGGTCAGGCCGCAAAGTGGTTCCACCACTTCGGTACAAGGACTATGTTCCATAATGAGGACTTGACAGTCTTTATTGGTTGAGGGGAGAAGTTATGTGTTCTATGGACACACATGTCCACTACAGTTGCAGAAATGTATATGTTCGAATAGTGGAATGTTTTTGTGTTCTGTTAGTGTTTCATATTGTTTCTCCCTTAGTGAGAAGAAAGAAAAAAAAAAGAGAGAAGGGATGTAATGATGTGCATTGTTGTTTGGCTTGGTTGGTTCCGCAGTGTGTTGTGTTGCTGCACGGGCGTTTTTAGAGTACGCACCGTTATATGATGCCGGCAGAGACTGTATGTTGGTGAAGTCTTGTTAATAAACCTTACTACCCCGTTGGGTAGGAAATAGATATTCTGGAGTTTGTCGTGAATGAGACCAGAATATAACACCTAACACACATTATTATTTTCATAATTTAATTATTATTTCTCTTGGAAGCGCTCAGTCAGACCGAGTGCTGTGATGCCAGGAGATCCGGTCTTGGGGAGGGGGCGGGGTCAGTGACGGCAGCTGCAGCGTGATCATCTGTCTCTTTTTTTTAGGGACACAGAGAAGTTAAAAGGAGAGAGAAATAGAAGATAGAAGTTCTTGTTCCACTTTATTCTTTTGTTTCATGATGATAAACTGATGTTAAATTCAGCTTAAAGAGAAGCTGGGAGGAAGCTTTGGTTCATTTTAAGTTACAGGAGGTCTTGTCTCCTATCTGCTCCTCCAGAGACAGCATGGACATGAGGGTCACATGGTGAGGGTCCCACAGGACAGGTTAGTGGAAAGGTTTGTAGTTAGCTGGTTAGTGAAGCTGATCCATCATCTGGGTAATTTAATCCTAATCCAGCCCACAGCCTTCTGTTGGTGTCATTATCAGAAAGAATAAAACACACATCTTAAATATTATTGGAAGTTTATAATGTGTTTTATTTTCTGCATCAAACAGAACTTGACTCATTCTCCAACATTTCAGAAATGAACCACTGGGTTCAAATAAAAAAACTAAGTCAAACATTTCATTTGGTGTTATTTCTGACACCCTTGAACTGTGGCATAAATATTTGACTCTAGAGCTGCTTAGAGACATTAAACACTCATATATGAACCCATTATGGATTTTATTATTACATTATGTGTCCTGTAGGTTTCAGGCCTTTTTCAGATTTTGTGAGTTTTTGCAAAACGTGTTTTTCTCAGCCTGAGGCGTGGCTGTTGAACGAGGAAACAGATGTTTTACTTTGTTAAATCTTCTTAAATGTTTACAATGTTTTGTCCTAACCTGTTGTGAGTGGAGAGCTTTTGAGGGATGGCAGGTTGTGTCAATTAAGTTTTTGATTTAAAAAATAAATAAATAAAAAAGCAATTATCTGACATCTATTTATCGATGAAAACAAATCAATATGAAATAATCGTGATGCATCGGGATATCGAATCGAATTGTTGACCCAATAATCGAATCGAATCGGGAGACAAGTGAAGATTCACATCTCTAATAAATGTAAGTAATTACCAAGAAAAACAACAATTGTTACAAACAACAGGCACCGTGCTGCATCCAGTTGAATTCCAGTTCTCACGGCCAGGATCAAAAGCATTCAGGGATCAATCTAATAATTTATTAGGTGCAAATAAAAAAGAACTAACATTTTGACAGAATGTCTTCGTCAGAGTTATAAACTATTTAGTTACTTTTTATAAAAATATGCAAGATAAATGGAACACCTTTTAATAGAATTTACTATAAATTACATCAATACTAAAATATAAATGACCAGAACACAATAAAATGTAAGTCCAAATATTTATTACAAAAATGAATAATTGAAATAACTTGACACCTAACAAGAGGAACTACAAACAGGAAACATGACACTAATCTAAACTATTAAAAATTCACCGTGTGTGATGAAACAAGACCCCAATCACTAAGGTGGAGTGAGACGTGAAATGATGATGGTGTGTGTGTGTGGAATGTTGTCATCAGAACCAGCGGAACCGGAGAAGCATTTAGTTCTGAGTGGGAGTGAATGTTTCGCTCTAAACTTTAGTAGGAGATTTATAACACACATGAAACACCATCTGTCGGTCTACGTACCCCAGGGGAAGCCTCCGATTAGATCCAGAATGTCGAGGTCTGTGGATCCTCCTTGGTACCGAAGCCGGTAGAAAAGCAGCGGTGCCGACCAGTCTAGTCTCAGAATGCTCCGAGGTCACGACAGGTTATCACTGGTGTCAGCGAGACCTTGAAGGGGTCGTGAGGTTCAGCTTTTATTCTGAAGGAACCGTTGCGGTCAGGTGTAACTTGCAACAGATTTTATCCAGTTTGTCGAGGTTCTTTTGGCTGAAGAGGAAGTCCGGATGGCCTGTCCGAGACTTTTCTAGAACGCTTTAACTAAAGAAAAGGTGGCGTGGGATAGTTTTTATAATTGTCATATTTTGGTTTACTGGTGAATCAGAATTTGACATGCAAAAGAGGGTTTATACAAACACCACAGATAACCATGCTTAGCCAGAAACAAAGGTTCTGATTGGATCAGACAAAAGGAAATGTGTCGTGTGACTTTAGCATTACGTGTCCTTAGTGTCTAGTGCAAATGTCCAGGATTATAATATCAAGTAATAACATTGTCATTTCACAGATTGATTGAACATTGGGCTCACATTATTATTGGTAATAACAAAGTTGTTGATTATGTGTTTATCAAAAGAGTTCTCCATCTTCGTATTGAGCTGTAACAGGTGAAGCAGTTCAGATGAGCAGAGTGCATGAAAGACCTTGGCCACTATCTCGTGTAGATTAGGCTGTCAGAGACTTTGTCTCCACTCGAGCAGACGCAGCAGATCATGACCTTTAGGTCAAAAATAGGACATTTCATGATGCTACACGGGTCTGGAAACCCTTCATTCAGACAGTCTTGCTGACTTCTAGGTAATTCATTTGGAGAAAGGTTCCCTGATTTTAAAACAATGGGTGAAATGGTGCTTGTTCCAGTCTACAGCACAGATTCAGCCTCCACAACATTAAAACAGCCACGAGTCTGTCTGAGGCAACAGAAGCTCGACTACATCCTCTTCAGTAAACCACCTAGAGACATTTCATTCAGCAGGAGCATGGTTCAGGTGTATGCGGAGCAGGAGGAAGGTGAGAGAGACTGTGTGTTTGGGCCACAGCAGGTGAAATGTTCCTACTTCAAGTGAAAATGTTTAATAGTCACAATAATATGTTACAGGAGCACTCTGGTCAGCTTATTTACACTAAACATGATTTACAAATGAATGAAAATTAATGGTATTGGATGTTTATTTTTTTTAACTCTCCCACTGTCTTTATGGGTGACCCCGCGAGGAAAGTTGACCATTGAGCAGGGTTGATGGTTTATCCCTTGAGGTCCACGTGGCAGGGGTGAGGCGTGTAACAAAATTGATCGTGACCATGTTTTTTTTACTTGTTAAAATGATTAGCCGACCTGTGGTGGAGATGAGTACAATAAAAACAACAGATGAATCACATTTAACAAAAATAAACACAATCACCCAAAAAACAGGTAAAAAAAAATGACACCAAAGTTATGGAGTCTAACCTAATATTCCCCTCTGAAGAGCTCAAACAAAGCAGCTCCAATGAAACACAACAGCAAGAAAGACACTAGTCCTATTCCTATAAAGTAGCGATATTTGTGTCGGTCCCATGATGATTCTACCTCAGGCTGAGATGCGTTTTCAGGAACTTCAGCCGGAAGCAGAGTTCTGCTTTCTTCCTGGTTCCCAACCACCACTCTCACATCTTTATGTTTGGATCTGTTGGCTGACCTTTGGGTCTCTTTGTTGGTGACATTTCCTGACTTCTCTTCCTCAACACTCTTGGGGTTTTGGTAGAACGCTGCAAGTCCAGCTGACCTTTCACTGCCTATAGATGTACACTCATCTCTCACCTCTACTAACTCAACTAGCTCTTCCTTTTCAGGACCTCTGGTCTGATTCTGATCTTCCAGGTCAGTGTGTTGATGCTGTGACGTCATGTGGATTGAATGACTGTCGGACATTTCTGTCTCATCTTCTCTCACATCTATGGCTACCATGCATACATCTCGCCCCTCGTGTCCTGCAGGTTTAACTGATGTTTCACTTTCTCCAGGTTTACAATCTTGATTCAGATCTGACCTAAAATCTTCACTCTCAGTTGGTTCTTGGTTTTCAGAATCCTTGACTTTATTCCGATCATCAGCAGAAAGCAGCTTTATGTCCTCTCCCGGGTCATCAGTGTCCTGTGATGTCATGTCCAGAGACTGATGGTCATAGTCGTCTTTCTTTGTTTTATTCTTGTCTGTTGCTGAGTTGACATCACTCAGCTCGTCTTGTAGAGGTAGAGGAAACATCTCACTGTCCACAGGTTTACCATCACATTTCACATCTGGAGTCACCTGATCCATTTCAGGCAGATCAGACTTCCCAGCATCCTTCACTTCATTCGGATCATCATCACTAGAGGGCATAGTTTTGTCTTCTTTGTGGTCATCATCAGTGTCCTTCATCGTCCTGTCAGAGGTTTCTTGTTTCACATTTAATGAGGTCTGATCACCCGGAGGTGTTTCTGATTCAGGATGCTTCACTTCATTCTGGTCCCCAGTAGAGGACAGACTTACACATTCTTCTTGGCTAGTGTTTGGTCTGGTTTTTTCAACCTCTTTGGCCTTTTCCCCTGATTCAGTCTGATCTTCATAACTGTTATTATTGTAATTGAACAGCTCAGCAGTGACTTTATCCTGTAATGTTTTGTCTTCTTCAGCTCTGTCAGAGTTTTGTTTTTCTCTCGTTTCTAGTTTGATCTCTTCTGTCTCTGGTGGTTCTGCTTCTGTAGCATCACTGACTTCACTCTGATCATCACGGTTACCTTCATGGTCATCATCCTTTTCTTCTGAATGACTTGGAAAGCTTCTTGTCTGATGTTCTTCCTCCTTTATGATCTCTTTACCTTCATCTGTTGCATCAGTTACTGTCCTCTCTGCATCATTTAAAGGTCCAGCGGACACACCTTTCCTTACATCTTGGATCTCATTCTTATCCTCAGAAGAGGACAGACTGCTGTTTTCTACGTGGTCACCAGTTTTTTCACCCTGTGATGTCATGTCCTGCAAATGACTGTCAGATTTTTCTGTCCCATGGTTTCTCTTTTCTCCATCGTACAGATTTTGTCCATCAACAGCGTCCTGTTTGATGTCACGGCCAGCAGTCATTAGTGACATTTTGTGTTCAACAGGAGAAACATCTGGTCTCATTTGGTCACCTTCAGCTTCTTTGGTCGTTTCATGATCCACAACTTTACTCTGATTTCCGTTAGAGAGTGAATTACTGTCTGTTTTCAAATCTTCCTCCTTTGATGGGATGTCCTCTGCCGACATGTCTGGACTACTGGTCTCATCTTTGTCTGCAGTAGGTAAAATGAACAACTCACTCTCTTCAGGTCGAAAACCACCTTGACTTGTTTTAGTAAGCTCGGGGTTTTGGTCTGTACCACAATCTTTCACTTCAGACGGATCTTCAGGCAGATTGGCCTTTCCTTCCTGGTCATCAGCATCTGCCATGTTTTCTACGTGACTGTCAGAGATTCCTGTCTCATGTTGGACTTTATTTTCTGCCTCTTGAGTCTCTTCTGACTTTTCATTTGTTGATTTACTTTTTAAATGGATTGTCTCACTTTCGCTGTCAGGGCCAGCAGTTGGACTAAACTGTTCACGGTTTGTTTTCATCTCCTCAAACGTAGCTGGTTCCTTGTTCTGAGGCTCAATGTCTCTATTAGAGGGGAGCTGATGGTTTTCTTCCTGGTTAGGAGGATCTCCATCCTTCACTGCTGTGTCTTCTGTCTTTCTGTAAGGGTTTTCTGTCTCGCGTTTTACTTTTTCATGTTCCTTCTCATCCGTCTTCTTGTCTGTTAACGTCCATGCCTGTGCCTCACTCAGCTCACCTTGTCTCTCATGTCCAGCAGGTCCACCTAATATTTCTCCATCTCCAGGTTTAAAACCTTGGTCGGCATCAGGTTTTCTCTCTTCACTCTCAGTTGATTCTTTGTCTTCATCATCTCCGACTTCTCTCTGATCTTCAAAAGAGGACAGACTTCTTATTTCTACCTGATCTTCAGTGTCCTTGTCTTTCTTTATCACTTCTTGTGAGTTCTTGGACATTCCTGCATCCTGTTCTCCCTCCTCCTCCATCTGTTGGCTGTCGTCTACATTTACAGTCATTTCTGCCTCCCTCAGCTGTTCTTGCGTGCCACCTGCAGCAGGTAGAGGAGACATTTCACCGTCCACAGGTTTAGAGTCATGCTTTGTGTCTGGTGTGACCTGATCCAATACAGGTGGAGGAGACTTTTTAGGATCTACAATGTTTTTCTGATTGTCACCGGAGGACATATTTTTGTCTTCTTTGTATTCATTATCTGCATTTGTCATTGTCCTGTCTTCTGCGTCCTCTTTTAAACCGGTTTCTGTCTGCACATTCTCATCTTTCTCTCCATCCACGAACCTGTGAACATCGCTCACGTCATGCAGACTGTGAAGAGCAACAGATCCAACAATAGTTTCACTGCCTCCAGATTTAGATTCCTGATTAATGGCAGCTTCTGCGTTTTCTAGCCCTTCCTGGTTTTTAGCATCTGCAGTGTTATTGGTAACGTTCTGTGGACTGAAATGATCAGTCTCCTGTTTTTCCTCCTTTTCTGTCTGTTCATCTTCTTCAGTCTTTTCTTTTAATACTTTCTCCTGTGCATCACTCGACTTATCTTGTCTGTTAGCTGGAGCCGTTAAAAGTGACTCTTTACTGACGATAGGATCTAGTGTGGTCTGATCAGCCTGGGCTATTTCTGCGTATTCAGGATGCTTCACTTCATTCAGGTCTCCAGCAGAGGGCAGACTTGTGTTTTCTTCTTGGTTAGTGTTTGTCTGATTCTGGTTGTTGTTAATATTGTTGTGATTTATCAGCTCATCACCGGTTTTATCCACTGATATCTTGTCTTGTTCAACTCTGTGAGAGTCTTGCTGAACGTCTAGTTTGATCTCTTCTGTCTCAGGTGGTTCTGCTTTCTCAGGATCCCCGACTTTCCTCTGATCATCACTAGGGAGAATGATTCTGTTTCCTTCATCGTCCTTCAGCATTAACAGTCCTTCTGAACAACATGCAGAGCTTGTTGCCTGATGTTCTCCTTCCATTTTGTTCTGGATATCATCACCTGTTGCAGGCATTGCTGTCCTCTCTGTATCGTTAAGCCCTGCTTGGCTCTCATGACCTGTCAGACCATCTGTGTCCTCTGTCTGATTCTGTTTGTCTCTTAATGTCATTGGATCAACCTCAGATTGGTTTGCCCCTTCATCAACCTTCACTTTGGTCTGATGCCCACTAGAGAACACATTTATGCCTTTTTCAAGGTCATCTGTGCCTGCATCCTCCACAGCCATATCTGGAATATGGAAGTGATCCCACTCTTGGTTTTTTATGTTTCTTTGTGCCATTGTGTCCATTAGGTTGTCCTGTGTATGTACCATGTCCTGTTGTCTCTCTGGCCCATCAGGTGCAGAAGCTGTTTCATCGTCTACGTGTTTAAAATCAGGACTTTTATCTGCTTCCACCTCTTTATTCTCTGTCTGTTTATTGTTTTCAAAACCGTTGCCCTCAGTCTCATGGTCGGCAGAAGGCAAACTTCTGTGTTCTTCCACTGGACCAAGGTTTTCATGGTGTGGTGGTGTGTCCTGCAAATGACTGTCAGATCTATTCATCTTGTGTTTGACTTTCTGTTCTTCATCTAACAGATTCTGGCCATGAAATATCTCCTGTTTCGTGTCATGGGCAGAAGGCAATGGCAACATGTTCTCTACATTAAAATCAGGATCAACATCTGGTCCCATTTTGCCATCCTCAGTTTGTTTGGCTTTTCCATGATCCCAAACTTCAGTCTGATCTTCTTTAGAGTCTTCATCCTTGTCCTCTGCAGGTTTGTCTGGGATTCTTGTCTCATCTTTGTTTACAGCAAGTACATCTAACATTCCACTCTCTTCACATCTAAAACCACTTGGTGTCGTGTTTGTAGACTCAAATAGATCTTTAGTAGAAGACAGATGGCTCTTTTCTTCCTGGTCATCAGCATGTGACACGTTTACTTCACTGTCAGAGTGTCCTGTCTCATGACTGACTTTATTTTCTGCTCGTTGAGTCCCTTCTGATTCATTTGTTGATTTACTTTTAAATTGACTCATCTCACCTTGGCTGTTGGGTCCAGCAGGCCCACCTGATATTTTTCTGTCTCCAGGTTTGAAATCTTGGTTGGCATCAAATTCATTTGCTTCCCTCTTAGCTGGCTCTTTGTTCTCAGGGTGGCAGTCTACACTCGGATCAGGTGGATCTGACAGTTCAGCATCTGTTATTTCACACTGATCTCTGCTAGAGGATGGATTTCTGTTTCCCTCCTGCTCATCAGTATCGTTGCCTTTCACTTTCATGTCTGCAGGACACAAGTGAGGATTTTCACATTCTCTCCTTTTCTTCTTTTTTCCTGTTTGCTCGCAGTCGTCTTCCTCTCTTGATCTCTTCGGTGCTTCACCAGGTTCGTTGTCTCTCTCCTCCTTGTTCAAATCATCGTCAGTGCTTGAGATCTGATCTGGGGTTTCACTGGCAGCAGTTGGGTCAACTTTGTTGCAGACGTCTTGAGTTCCTACAAAATAATTTAGAAAGAAGAGAAAAGTAACTGTTAGTTATTTCTGAAGCTGCTTAATGCTGCCATTACCACCAAACAATGTATTCTCACTGGAAATATTCACTGATTCTTACCAGTCTTTTTGTAAAAAAGAAGATAGGCCCGACTGAACCTACAAAAACAACAACAGTGCACGAAGGTCATCTTAAAGATTGTGAGGTACTGCAGGGGAAAAAAATGCTTGACAGGGGGCATCTCCTCATGAAATTGCACTGTTGGCTCAAAGTAAGGAATGCCCATCTCTAATTTTGCCCATTCACCTATTTCTCTCTGAAACTGCCCCGGTACCTGTTAAGATTCTGCGTGATACGGGTGCTTCCCATAAACTATTGTTAGCAGAAGTGTTTCCATTAAGTGACGAGTCACAAAGGTGTGTCCATCTTACTAAAAGGCTTGAATTCAGAAACCATTTCCTATTCGTTGCATGAAGTGACTTTGGATTGCCAACTAACAAAAGGATCTGCCTGTGTCTGGTGTTGCTGTGTTACTAGGAAATGATATAGCTGGGGCAAAGTTAAACCTGCTCCTCAGGTGGTTGACAAACCTATTGTCTACATCAGGGATTCCCAAAGTGTGGTGCGCGCACCCCCAGGGGTGCGCGAGCTGCCGCTAGGGGGTGCGCAAGGTGAAAAGTGTAATGGCTGCGGAGCTCAGAGAAGTCTGTCATATGTCACCATTAAAGTAGAAACTCATTTGTGGGTGGGCCAAAGAAAAAGTAAGTGGGCACAATAAATGTAATTGAAAACAGGTATATTTTTGCGCGCGCGTGTGTCCTCCACATGTGCCCTAGCTTCATAATAACAATGCGTCGAGCTTCAACACTCTGGCCTGCGCACGCCGATATGTTCCGTATTTGATCATTTTTATCGGTGTTGGAGAAATCTGAAGGTGGTGAGTCATTCTGGCAGATTGTAATTAACACCCTGTCTCATGCAGGTGTTCTGACATTGTAAACCTCACACACAGAACATTGTGGATGTAACAAAATAAATCAAGAAATGATTCCCATTCAGGCTATTAACAGCGCGCTGAAGATCTGAAGTTCAGAGTGCGTCTGTCAGAGGTCAGACGCGTTCCGGCTGAACCACGGCTCACGGGTGCACATGTGAGCACATCTGGGCTGGGCAGAAGGAATTTTACAACATTGGTTTAAATAGCGCGAGACGCGGTGACTTGAGTGGCTGTGCCGCGCGCGCACACACACACACAGATTCAATAAGCGCACACGCTGCTTTAACTCCGGCGCGCCGTCAGACTGAAGGCAGAAATGAACGCTGCCTCCACCGTGATAAAAACTTTTAAGAGGTTATTTTTCATTCAAGGTCAAATTAAGATATTAGCTTCTGGGATGAGTCGGGTCTGCTCCAGCCAGTGACTCCTCATGAACCTGACCACAAGTCCTGTTACTGCAGCATTTGTTGTTCCAGTCCGCATGACAGCGGATCACAGATTCAGCCACACCATAAAACAGCAATAAGTCGGTCTGAGGTAAAAGTGAACATCATGGCTATATCTTTCCCCCTATTGACATTTGATTACGCACAAGTAGGTGATCAGCTCAGGTTTACGCAGAACAGAAGGAAGGAGAGCGCTCTGGCCGCACAGGTTAAACGTTCCTACTTTAAGAAAACCGTTAAATTGCATTGTTTATGTGCTACCTGGGCACTCTGAAAATTTATTTAAAATGAAATCAAAGGAAATTGTAATGGTATCGAATGTTTATTAATTACTATTTAAAAAATGAAAGTGATGGGGAATTTTTTTAACCTGTCTGTTTAGCTTGACATATGATATATATATATATATATATATATATATATATATATATATATATATATATATATAGAGCCATGCCCTGATGTGGGGGCTGGGGGGGGGGGGGGTGCGTCGACATGGTCGGGACATAGAAGGGGGTGCGCGGCTAAATAAGTTTGGGAACCACTGATCTACATGGAAGAGCATGAGTGTCTGTCAGAGTGTCTCGTTCACAGGTTGGGAACATGAGTGACCCAATGCCAATAACTAGTGGAGCTCTTGGTGCCAAGTTTGAAGAGCCATTCACTAATGCTCAAAAGATTGGTGATGTAAATTACTCTGTCAATACCCCAGGACGAAAGAAAGTTCCGTATGTGCCATATCAACCAGCTAAAACTGTACCATTGTCCCGACACTTCAGGCCCTCCATACACTTCACCAGAGTGCGCAGCTGGTGGTCTGGTTGAGTCAAGCCCGAGCAGTGAAGTTGACGTGGTCCTGCCGAACAGAATCAGTCCGCGGTTGCACAACTTGGATGAGTTACTTGCTCATCTACCACCCACACCCACAACTTATTGTGGCCTCAGTCCCAGTGCTAAAAGCTCCCAATCCTGAACGGCCTTTTGAGTTGGAAATAGATGCCAGTCAAATCGGTGTGGGTGCGGTGCTGTTGCAGTCGGATGAACAAAATATACTACGTCCCGTCGCGTATTACTCCAAGAAGTTTAGTGACTGCCAAACCCGGTACTCGACCATTGAGCAGGAGACACTTGCTTTATTGTTAGCGTTACAACACTTCCATGTCTGTTCAACCGCCCAACCCCTTATGCGGGTCCTAACAATTGGTTTGTAGGACTTAAGAAGCAGCTGACATTTCTCATTAGGTCTAGAAGTTCAAAGCTCAGACAGCTGCAAAAGCAAAAACGTGTTTAATGCTGCTGCTAAAGCCAAGGAAGCAACACCAACAATGTTGTCATGAAGTGTTCCTGACATTAGTGGAGGTTTGTGTTAAGTTGTGGAAAAAGTACTTTTAAGTTCTCCTGATCCTGACCAATACTCCTTGTGCGATGGACGGGGAAAACTAAATGCACAGCTGCTTGTAAGAAAACAACCGTATAGCAGTTTTAACAGGACGTTAAGGATTGAATAGTTTGATAACGCCATTATTGGACCTGGAAGAGTTGGAGACCGACAGAACTCTAAGGCAGAGAGGAAATTATCTCTGTCTGTACCCAAAACAATTCTTGTTATCTGAATCTGGTGCTCTTGAAGCCTGTGAGGCTGAAGTGAAAACTCCCCTCAGAAGAAATGTGGACTGCTGCCGTCGCCATGGAAACTCGTTCTCCCTCAGGGAATATCACATACCTGGGAATTAATATCTCTCCCAAGTTAGCAGATCTAACCAAACTAAACTACATCCCACTTTTAAGGAAAGTGGAAGATGATCTTGCAAGATGGAAATCCTTTCCAATATCACTTATGGGAGAGTGGCTACAATTAAAATGATGGTCTTACCCAGAATGAATTACTTATTCTCGATGATCCCAAACAAACCACCAGCTGACTGGTTTAAATCTCTGGACTCCTCAATTACTAAATTCCTTTGGCAGGATAAACCTCCACAAATTAGCTTAAAAACACTTCAGAAGACCAAAGACAGAGGAGGACTGGATTTACCCAACTTTTAATATTATTCATGCTTTCGTTCTTTTTTAAACACAGAAACAGTTTTGTTTACCTGTTTGTAGCTACGGTTTCGCCGACAGCTGCCGGCTTCTTCAGGCTGACGCTGATGGTGGCGCGTCACTTCCTTCTCCGTTTATCTGCGGGCAGCAGAGGACGTTGTCGCCCTCTACTGCCCGCTCTCCCCTCTCCGACGATGCAGTCCCATGCGTGGTCCAGCGTGTAAACTCCGTCGTCCCTGTTCATGGTCCCACATCCACGTCTCCTTATCTCTATTGCTTCCTTGATCCATCTTTTGTATTTTTGTTGTTCAGTGGTTATGATCCGTGTGCTGTCCCAGTCCATTATATGGAGAGCGGGCAGTAGAGGGCGACAACGTCCTCTGCTGCCCGCAGATAAACGGAGAAGGAAGTGACGCGCCACCATCAGCGTCAGCCTGAAGAAGCCGGCAGCTGTCGGCGAAACCGTAGCTACAAACAGGTAAACAAAACTGTTTCTGTGTTTAAAAAAGAACGAAAGCATGGATTTACAAAGACACAGCAAGAACACACCTAAGATGTTCAAAGAGAAATACGGACAACAAGGAACGAAGGACTTCCGCCGTTTGGAACGATTACACCAGAAACGCGCACGTCTAAGAAACCACCTTCGCTTCTGTTTAAGATGCCGGGACGAAAACATCACACCCACAAGCCTACAGCTGAAAACATCGATCTGGACCCAGACAGCACAAAATATAATAGAAAGAGCACAGAGAGCACTGCTCAAGGAGAGGATAAGGAACGTCATAACCAAACAGAGGCGTGTGGAGGACGAACTGGAAAGAGGACACCTGGACTTGAAAAGGAATTACAAACTTGATAAACAAATGGAGGAACTAATTAAATGACACATGATGGAAAAACAGGAACAAGAGTTCATAAAAGTGAAAGAAAGACACATAAAGAAGTTAAACAGACTCATAAACAAGAAAAAGAGGGGAGAAATACAAGGCAACTCCACACCAAACTCATGGGTATGTAACATTTCACAATACAAACTAACAGAAGCAGAAGAGAGCATATTAAAGAAAGGTTTAAACTTTGCAGTCACACCAAAAGAAATACCATATGATGAATTTATTGTAGCAACAGAACTAGCATGTCAACAGATCACAGATGAGGGAAAGAAAGCAGAACTCAGAAATAACGTAGTTGGGATATTAAAAAACAGCCAAATTCAACACAGCAATATTACAAAAGAAGAACAATCAGCCATGACAGCTTTATCCAAAAATGAACAGATAATTATTCTACCGGCAGATAAAGGAAGAACCACAGTAGTTATGGACAGAGAAAAATATAAACAACAGATGAAACAGATGCTAGAAGACAAAAATACATATGAAATACTTAAAAAAGATCCAACAGAAAACATTAAGAAAAACATGAAAAAATTACTGAAGCCACTGCACGAAAAAGGCAAAATAACAGAAAAAATGTACAAACACTGGATTCCCACAGCAAACATAACACCAAGAATATATGGAACACCAAAAATACATAAACAAAACACCCCACTTAGACCAATAGTTGACAGCATAGGTACACCAACATACAACATGGCAAAAGATATCAGCAGAATCATCAGCCCGTTATTAGGAAATACAGACCAACACTGCAAAAATAGTATAGA